AGTTAGTAGTATAAGGTAAGAATTTCTCATGAAACCCCAGCAGCACAGCAACTAAGAGATAGCATAGATAAATGGGACCTCATAAAACTAAAAAAGCTTCTGTTCATCAAAAGAATGGTCTCTAAACTGAAGAGAACACCCACAGAGTGGGAGAAAATATTTGCCAACTATACATCAGACAAAGGACTGATAACCAGAATATACAGGGAACTTAAAAACTAAATTCTCCCAAAACTAATGAACCAATAAAGAAATGGGCATGTGAATAAACAGAACTTTCTCAAAGAAGAAATTCAAATGGCCAGAAACACATGAAAAATGCTCACCATCTCTAGCAATAAAGGAAATGCAAATTAAAACCACGCTAAGATTCCACTCACCCCTGTTAGAAATAGCCAGGCAATACTAGTCAAAGAACTGCAGGAGGTATACATACTGACTTCAAATATTATTAAGCATACAATAAAGCATGGTCGAAAAAACACATTGAGCAGTGGGAGAGAATAGAGGATCCGATAGTGAAGCCACACAACTATAAGCAACTTATCTTTGACAAAGGAGCTAAAAATATACGATGCGGAGAAATAGCAGCCTCTTCAACAAAAACTGCTGGAAAACTGGTTAGCAGTCTGCAAAAACTGAAACGATCATGTTATATCACCTATACCAAGATTAACTCAAAATGAGTCAAGGATCTTAGTATCAGACCCAAACTCTTAAGTTGATACAAGAAAGAGTAGGAAATACTCGAGTTAGTAGGTATAGGTAAGAACTGTTCTCAATGAACCCCAGAGCACAGCATAATGAGATAGCATAGATAATGGACCTCATAAAATAAAAGCTTCTGTTCATCAAAGAAATGGTCTCTAACTGAAGAGAACACAGAGTGGGAGAAAATATTTGCAACTACATCAGACAAGGACTGATAACCAGAATATACAGGGAACTTAAAAAACTAAATTCTCCAAACTAATGAACCAATAAAGAAATGGGCATTGTGAACTAAACAGAACTTTCTCAAAAGAAAATTCAAATGGCCAGAAAAACACATGAAAAAATGCTCACATCTCAGCAATAAAGGAAATGCAATTAAACACGCTAAGATTCCACCTCACCCTGTTGAATAGCCATCATCAGCAACACCACCACAACAGGTTGGGAGATGCAGGGAAAAAGGACCCTCTTACACTGTTGGTGGGAATGTAGACTAGTACAACCACTCTGGAAAAAAATTTGGAGGCTACTTAAAAAGCTGGACATCGATCTACCATTTGATCCAGCAATCCACTCTTGGGATATACCAAAAGACTGTTACTCCAGAGGCACCTGCATCCATGTTTATTGCGGCACTATTCACAATAGCCAAGTTATGGAAACACCAAGATGCCCCAGCACTGACGAATGGATTAAGAAAATGTGGTATCTATACACAATGGAATTTTATGCAGCCATGAAGAAGAACGAAATGTTTATATTCGGTAAATGGATGGAATGGAGAATATATTTGAGTGAGGTTAGCCTGGCTCAAAACCAAAATCGTATGTTCTCCCTCATTGTGGAATTAGATCAAGGGCAAACACAACAAGGGATTGGACTATGAGCACATGATAAAGCAGAGCACACAAGGGAGGGTGAGGATAGGTAGAACCTAAAAAATAGCTACATTTGTTCCCTTAACGCAGAGAAACTAAAGCAGATACCTTAAAGCAACTGAGGCCAATAGGAAAAGGGGACAGGTACTAGAGAAAAGGTTAGATCAAAAAAATTAACCTAGAAGGTAACACCACACACAGGAAATCAACGTGAGTCAATGCCCGTATAGCTATCCTTAATCTCAACCAGCAAAACCCTTGGTTCCTTCCTATTATTGCTTATACTCTCTCTAAAAAATTAGAATAAGGGCAAAATAGTTTCTGCTGGTATTGATGGGGTGGGGGAGAGAGGGAGGGGGCGGAGTGGGTGGTAAAGGAGGGGGTGGGGGCAGGGGGGAGAAATGAACCAAGCCTTGTATGCACATATGAATAATAAAAGAAAATGAAAAAAAAAAAAAAAAGATTCCTGCTAGTAAGACTCTTTGTTTTGTTTTTGTGGTGGTGGTACTGGGGTTTGAGCTCAGGGCCTTGCTCTTGCTAGGCAAGCGCTCTACTACTTGAGCCACACCTCCAGCCCCCAGCCCTTTTTTTGTTTTTTTAAATTTTCTTCTTTCAGATAGGGTCTCATTCTTTTTGCCTCAGACCACAGTCCTTCCACTTATCTGGGATTACAGGTATTAACTACTTTGCCTGCCCCCTACTAGTAAATATTTAATGTAGAAAGCATTGGTACAGGAATGAATAGTGCCACTGTTCCCATGAGAGATGTGTCCCCATCCCAGACACATCCCTTGTGTGAGCATAGCTTCCCCTTCCAGCATCTGTTTTTCAACTTGGCATTCCAGACAGGCTAGTCTTAGTGTTCCAGCTTCCTTCTCTCTGAAGAGACAGGATGGCCAAGGAATATGCTGCCATTTTGGTATAATGGTCTGAGGATCCCTTAGATTCTGAGTTTTAACTAGGGGAATGGTAACTAACTGAAATAACTGAGTAACTTCAGCTGTTGTTGAGTCATATTGGCTTACGATAGCTTTAGCAGTGGGTCTGGCAAGTCAAAGGAGACTGTGTTCATTTACTTTGAATTTAATGCAGACTGTGGTCATTTTTCCTGACAGGCTGTTAAACAGTTCGTTCCTTCCTTTCTCTTGAGTTGGAGGCACTCATACAGAGAACCCTGTTTTGTTCAATGGATTGTGATTTGTTCATGCAGTTGGTTTTACAGGCTGCCTGTCATGGGTGATAATATCTGTTCTGAGTGCCGACTTATATCCGAAGCATTCTATACAGCAGCGTAAGTGGGATAAACATAAACAGGACATGGTAGGTAAGAAGGCAGGAATGTCAGCACTGAGTCTGTTGTAAAGTGAAATAACACAGGTTCCATAATTAAAGGTCAGGCAGAGTCACATGAATTCAGGGCACTGATTTTCAGTTAGGACACATAGCTGAATTTACCTGCTGTGTGAAGTGTCTGGCAGGGCTGGGAATGGGTAGTGGGAGAAGAGACTGAGAGTAGTTCTTGGATGTGCCTTGGATATGAAACACTATGACAAGGGGCTATCAGAGCTTTCTGCAGAGGGAGGCAGAGGTCAGAGCTGTGATTCCAAAACGTGGCTTGACGCATGCAAGGTGGACATGCAGAGATCAGAGTGAGGCTCCCCGCTGGGCCATGCTGGTAGCTTAGGCAAGGACTGAAAAGGCCCTGAACCACTAGTTTTTGGGGATGGGGAAGGTGCATCTGAGCAACTTTCAAAGGCCTAAGGGCCATAATTTGGTACTGGTTTCTCTTGATGGAAAGGAAGCTTGAAGAAAGGCATTTTTCTAGGTGAGGTGACCAGAAAACCAACACGCCAATAATTAAGCTTTGAACATAGAAGAGGGACCTGGTTTGAGTGCTGTGTTGAAGACATGTCATAGTGAGGTTAGTGATGTGCAATTTTATGGCCTTTATAAGATACTCTAAGCAGTTAGAAATTCTGGTCCAGCACGTAGGAGTGGGAAATTTGGATGTGGAAGTTAAGCTTTAGCATTTATGAAATCCTTGACGGATTAAGGAACCACTTTGCCTTGACAGTAGAGTGACAAGACCTGAAGCTGGAGGACCGACTAATGCCTCTGTGTGAGGAGCAGGTGGGGCGGGGTTGGGGGGCGTGGATCTAGAAGGACTTTGGGTCCTGGGAGAGTTTCAGCAGGGACAGAAACTCAAACTGCATCAAAGCTGACAATTGCCATACCTGCAAAGAGGCTTTAAATAGATAAGAACTTGATCCTTGCATATTATTTTATCTCTATGATTCCTCTAGTGTACACATTTGGACCCTAGAGAAAAGTAGGGGAAAGGGTAGTGACTCACCGTGCTCTCCTCTCAAGCATCTGGCCAGCCTTCCTCCATCTCCCAGTGCGTCTGGGACACAGCAAGGACAGAATGCTGGGAAACAGTGTCAGATCAGGTGTGCGCCATTTCTCCTATGCTTTAGTTCACACTAATGCATAAGGACAATTAATTTTTACACAACTATAGGTCATTATCAATTCCTTAATATCATCTAATAAAACCTAATTTCCTTTGAAGTCCTTGAGAGCCACTTCAGTGATGCCTTTTAACTTCATGGAGATTAGCTTTCTCTTGAAGGACCTGTTGGGAGGCAGGCTGTGTCCTGAGAACGCTAAGATGTTCTTTGCAGGACTGCTTCTGCCATGTGGTATGCACTGAGTTTCAATGGGAAGCTAGGTTGTATTTTGTGTATACACTTGCCCTGAGAGTAGTAGTGGAGACCTGTGACTGACTTGCTCACTTTAGTTCATATGAGTTAAATTCATATCTACAGACACTACCACGGTTTTGCCTCCTCTGAGCCGCACCCTTATCTAGAGCAGCACTTCCTTATTTAAAGCAGTGGTCCTCACCCAGGACATAGGGATGTTTTTGAAGCATTTTTGATTGTCATAACCCTTGCTGGTTGGAGCTACTAGCACCTAGTGGGAAGAGAGGAGGGATGCACAGGGAAGCCTCACATAATAGTGACTTAATCTGCCCAAAACGCCAGTCACGCCAACCTGAGGAAAATCCCTGTGTTAGAGAAATAGCATTTTACAGCAAAGAACTGTTGTTACGTCATGTGTTTGGATACTACTGTGTGGTTAAGAATTATGGGTCTTTGAAGAAAGATTTTTCCTTTCATCTGCATCACCTAAACTAGGTTTGGTTTGAACCCACTAAACTTCATTCCTGTTTTCATTTTCTTTGTGTCTCAGACTCTAGCACAGTAGAGAAGTGATTTGGTTTTTTGGGTTCAAGATCTGAGATGAACTGTATTTTCTCAGAAAGTATTCATTGATCTCAACAATGTCCTCTCTCAAAAAAGATACTAGCTTGGGGATGCTACTAAACAGGCAGGTGGGGGCTTGTTAAATCAAGGTGTGGTCTACATTTCTTTAGCCTGATTTGAAAATGAGTAGTCATTTGTAGTGACAAAGTAGGAAATATAAAATATGTCACCTCTGTGTTTGTAGGAAATACAGCTGGAACATGCAAAGCAAGCCTTTGTGCAACGGGACAATGCCAGGACTGGAAGAGTCACGGCCATTGACTTCCGAGACATCATGGTCACCATTCGCCCCCATGTCTTGACACCATTTGTGGAAGAATGTCTAGTAGCTGTAAGTGGTAATTTGCCCTAATGAAGTAACTTAATCCACCTACTTTAAGCTTAGTAAATAAGGAATTATAAATAATAATTGATACAAATTATTTTTTTCTGTTTAAAACACATTTTCTTAATCTGATTCATACTTTACCAAACTCAAAGAAAAGGTATGTTTTGGCTAGTTCTGGTAGGTAGGTTAATTTGTTGTCCGAATTATATGAAATTTTAGAGAAAAAAATGGTTGTCCCTTGGTATCCATGGGGAACTAGACCCACCCACATTCAGAACTCTGGATGCTCAAGTCATTTATAGAAAATGGCATAACCTGCGCACATCTTCTCAATACTTTAAAAATCCTAGATTACTCTTAATACCTAAAACAATGCAAATTTTATGTAAATTGTGGTCAGAAGTATTGTTTAGGGAATAATGCCAAGGTAAAAAAAGGCTATATATGTTCAGAACAAATACATTTTTCCCCCAAATCTTTTCATTTTGTGATTGTTTGACTCCATAGATATGGAAGCCCTGGGCCCAGAGGGCTGTCTATGTTAATTGGTTAAAAAAAAAAAAACAAAAAAACAAAAATTTGTGATCACATGTTAATTTTGCTTTGAGGTATTTCATATGTTGATTGTATTTCTTCTTTGAGGCAGAAACAAAATAAAACAAAACACATTTATTGCTTGGTAGAATTGTGGGCAGACCAGAAAAGCTAAATCTTATATCACTCATGATTCATATGTGTGTGTGTGTGTGTGTGTGTGTGTATGTGTAGGCTGCAGTGACACATGTGACAGGCTGAGCCCTGCCATCATGTGTCATGAGCTCCCATCCCAGAGGATGTCCAGCTGCTGTTTTTACCTCATGGACCTTGTAGTTTCCTACACTGTAATGGGGCTGTGTTTCTAAAGTCTTAATCACAGAACTATAGAATCAGTAGGGATGAGTATTAAAAACACAATCTAGTCTAGAACTAGACCGTAGCCGGTGAGGTCTTAGAATCTAATTTGTAAAGCTTATAGATGATTCTGATAATCACTCTGACCTGGGAGCCACTTCTCAGTGGTAACTCACTCTTCTTTCACTAATCCCTGGAGAAGGCAGTGAGTGTTATCACTCACTGTGTTTCCCACAGTACTTTCCATGGACTGGAGTTCAGCAAACCCTGTAGTTTTCATTGTTTTCTTGGTGCCTCATTCTGGAGATGTAGCCTTTAGACAAGGCCTTTCCCACTCTGGCACTATGTTAATCTAACTCCTTTTATTCCCACCCCCTTTCCTACTCCATACTCAACTCTCATGTCAGCTATTTTAAATGATTACTAAATGAAGATTTATGTGGTTGTTACCTTATAAAGAAGTACCTTCCTAATAAAAATATTTGCCTTGTTTGGAAAGCATAGATTTCAAAACCCCAAATTGAAGTTCCATTCACAATGGACATGCTGTCTGTTTTCCTTATCCAATGTGAAGAAAAATGGGTCCTTAAAAATTTTGATTATCAGAATTCTGACCAGTCTTAACCCCCATCCAAGCATATGACATCTCATAATTTTACCATAATACACTTGTTTGTTAGAAATCCCACCAGTGTAAAGTTTGTATCTGAATGATTATTTATTGCTTGTTAAAAGTAACCGGGCAAGTCTTGATATTAATGTTAGATTGGCCACTTTTCATAGTAGGTTTGCATTGATGTTGTACAGTTTTGCATGTACAAACACATGCATGTGTATAATATAGCTTTGCATGTTTAAACCTTTAAGATTTGCTCATTAGATGAAATAAAACAACTTGTAAAACATTTCCAATTGAAATTTGAACTCAGTAAATTACTACTGGTCCTGTTGTTATAATCCTACACATGTATTTATTTAGTTTTCTAGGGGTTTATGCATGGAAAGTACAAGTTCTGGCCATGATTAGTTGCAGTTATGTCTAAAATTTACTTGTAGCTTTTTTTTTTTAATGTGAAAGAGAAATATGGTTATTTCTTCTCACATGCATTCCTGATTACTTCTAAACTAACATTTTATATTTGTGTGTGTGTGTGTGTGTGTGTGTGTGTGTGTGTGTGTGTATTAATGGATCTTCTTCACTTATAAGCCGTTTGATTTTTTTTTTCTTTCTCTTCATTTTCAACTTACCAAGGCTGCCGGAGGAACCACATCCCATCAAGTTAGTTTCTCCTATTTTAATGGATTTAATTCTCTCCTTAACAACATGGAGCTCATTAGAAAAATCTACAGCACTCTGGCTGGCAATAGAAAAGATGTGGAGGTGACTAAAGGTGAGTGAGAATGTATCTGAAGTCTTGCCTGCAAATGTCTTGGGAAGTTACTATTACACAAAGAAGGCAACCATTTATGTTGTACATTTTTTTATGCCATTCATACATATTACCATATGGCACATGAATGTCCTCCATCCTTTAATCAGACAAGCAGCAACAAAGAAAACAATCTTCATCATTTTAAATAAGCTGAAGATAACCTTTGAATGAGGAGAACATGTAAAGTTTCTTAAATATTTTCAAATCTTACCCAGCACAACAATAAAAAAGAAGAAAAAGAAAAAAAAAATTCAAATCTTGCTAGAATTTGAACTAAATCAGCAGCCTCTAAAGTGGTCTTCAAAAGTACATAAGGAATTCCACAAACTCGTATTGGTGACAATGTAAGATGATTTGTAAACTTGAACAAGATACTATCAACATTTTAAAGCTATTTTTAAAAAACGTAGAATTCCCTTAGCAATTCCACAGTGGCACTAATAAAACCTCTTGGGACCTGTGCATATTAAATTTCATATACTCATCCTCATTTTCCTTGACCTTCAATTTGAATAACATCCTGTATCATTTTTTCAAAGCATTCAGATAGCACCAAGTTTTTTAATCACAATGTTGGTGAAAATATTCTGCATACTTTTTCCAAGTAACTGAAAGACTGCAAAAATTCTTGCCCTGTTTGAGTGGACTCGAATTCTACAACTGATGATAATAAGTGTCGTGATGGCCACTCATTCTGGTGCCTTGAGTTAATGTTGAATTTAGTGCTATTCTTTCTTGAATCTTTCCCTTTTAACTTTTTTTCCATACAGAGGAGTTTGCTCGGGCAGCCCAGAAATTTGGTCAGGTTACACCCATGGAAGTTGACATCTTGTTTCAGTTAGCAGATTTATATGAGCCAAGGGGGTAAGTTGGCTTTTTTCTTTTTAATTAGTTTAATAAAAGGAGGTTAGGAGGTTGGGGCAGGAGGAGGGCAACAGTTGCGAGAGAAAGAAGCCAAATGGAAGGTAACACTGAAATATGGGAAGTGATAAAAGGAACACTTTAAAATTTATAATGTAAATTGAATAAATTGAAATATGTGTTGTTTTCTATGGTGGTTTTCACTCCAGACGTATGACTTTAGCAGACATTGAGCGTATCGCTCCTCTGGAAGAGGGAACTTTGCCCTTCAACTTGGCTGAGGCCCAGAGGCAGGTGAGTGAAGAGGAACAAGTTTGCTTCCTTGGGGTTTCCTTAGTGAGATACCCCAGCCCCTTTCACTTGTGCTGCCTTTCTGGCATTGGTTTCTGACTTACCATTTTTTCATTTTGCCTCCCAAACTCAGCAGTTTTTAGAAAGCTGGAAAGAGAAGTTACTTAGAGACCTTCTGAAGAACCCATAGTGGCATTGGTACCTTTCTTTCAAAGATGGGGTGATTCTTGGTTGCACTGAAAGCTCAGCTCTCCCAAAACATGTAGAAGATATTTTCTTCTTTAAATTATACATGGGGATGTGGGGAAGGAGCATTGGGGTGGTGTCACTGTCCCCATCAGCAGCTGCATGCTGCTAAACGAAAGCTGTCTTTGCTGTTCAGAGAGGCACTTCATCAACGCATTGTCTAACTGCCATGCCTTCCGTTTTGCCGAGTATCAAAATGAGATAATTTTGTTTAGTCTGGAGTCATAGTTCGAAGGCTTTTAGACCTATTTTCTCTGTGAAAGGATTCATAAGTTATGTGGAAACAATTTTAGGAATGCTAAATTTTATTTTATGGTTAACAGAAACCCAATCTCTTGAAGTTAGGGGACTCAAACTTAAGACATGGGATCTCCTTTCTTAACTCTTGTTCAACTCTTTATAGATCAAGCTTAGGAAGAAAAAGCCTTTCCTAGTGTGTACTGTGCTTGCCTGGCATTTGTAGAATAAATCTACTCACAGACAGAGCGACGATTTTAGAAAAAAGACCTCCTTTAAGGCAAAGCCATCTCTGAATCCTGTGAGACTTAACTGTTTTTGGCTTGGAGCTCTGGGTCTGTACAGCGACGCCAGTTTGACCACAATGGGTTGATGCGGGCTACATTTTTAGGACTGTCAGGCCTTGAGCCAGGACCCCCTCCTTTTAGCTCCTTCCCACCCAAAGGCAATGAGGAATTCTGTGTGCAGCATGTATGTATGTCAAAGTAGTGGGTGTGGCTCAGTAAATCCTAACTCGCCACCTCTGGAAAACCAGCTGGCTGTGGTTAAAAGAGGAAGCTGATGTCCCTGGGTGAAGGAGAAAGAACTGTATAATCACGTGCAGAGGTGGAAGCAGTGTTGCTTTCTCTTGCCTTTGATTTTAAATACTGCATATGAGATGATAATCTTCTTGTCTGTATGCCACCAACCATTTTAGAAATTTGGGGATTAAGAAAAACAGAGACTTTTTTTATCTCTCCTGCTCCCCAGCTGGAGTGGTACCCCATCATTTTCCTCTTATGCCCTTTGCAGCTTTTCAAAGTTTGTAATGGGTGATGGTTGATACTGGCCATGAAAGGGTTAGACTAGTTTGATGAGATTTACAGCAGGAAATGATTATCTACTGCTTAGAGCAATTCATAGCCCACCTTGCCTAGAATGCAGCATGCATTGAACCCCACTGGGCCTCACAGATTCAAGCAAGGGAGGTCATCCACCTGTGGGCAGGTGTACCTGTCCCAGCACTATGTAGCCCCTGGGATGTGTGTCCTAGACAGGGGAATGGGATGGTGGAGTCTTTCTTATGTCGTTTTAAGAGCATGTTACATTTCTAGCATCTGAAAAGTGAAATGAAAGTCTGGAATTTCATTTGTCTTTTAGGTGAAGAATTACTGGTAATGGTAGATTCCCCACCTTTATTATTTTCATTCATTATTTTGATGCCAGAGCATTTCTAAGTATTGGATATTTTTATCTGTGTAATTAAAACAGTGCTTCTCTTTTGAATCCATCTGTCAAAATGAAGGTACTGTTAAGCTCCATTTGTACAGGGATAGAGTTGGAAATAACCCCTGGAATTTACTGAAGTGTTTTACATTTGTAGAGATGATATTTCTATATAAAGCTATTTTCAGTTAAATGACTTTGAAGGAGATTCCAAATAACTTCATTGTATTAGAATTGTGTTGTATTGACAGCAGCTAAAACTCAGTGGGATGATAGGTTGGGTTGGTGATTATTTTCATTGTTTGCTGATTTTAATTATCATAGCTTTTGAAAAACCAAAATTTTATTGAATGTATTTATTCATTCAACAGGTATTTATTAGGCACTGACTATATGTCATCCTCATTTGACGACTCTGTGTGACATAAAATTACTGCTTTATTTATGCAGCCAGAGAAGGGCCATAGTCTAAAGTGTTCTGGTCTTAGAAATACTAAAGATCATGAGTCAAAAAAGCAGCAACAAAACTGGCTAGCCTGCAGTGTGAATTTAAGAAAGATGGGCAAAAAAGAGGAAAAGTAATAATCACCTGTAACTCCACCTCCTAGTTAGTGCCACCATAAACATTCTGAGGATCTCTGGGTGTTGGGGATGCCAAAATATTAGTATTAATTTTTTTTGTTGTTTCGTTTTAGTGGTACTGGGGTTTGAACTCAGGGCCTCACACTTGTTGGGCAGACTCTCTACCACTTGAACTACTCCTCCATCCCTGCTGTTAATTTTATATGCACATATATCCATGATAATGTTAATAAAATGATTCCATATTTCACTCTTTCAAGTTTTTTAAAAAAAATTGCCATGAAATATTTTAAACATTTAAAAGGCAAAGAGAATCATATGACAAATATCTGTCTACCCACAGTGTTCTCTTGAGTTTATGTTTTATTTTTATGGTACTTTATAAACATTTTTGCTAACATCAGATATTATTTAACAATACCATTTTACACTTCTGTCTTAATGGTATAGTATATTTTAAACAGTCCTCTTGATTTAGGTTGTTCCCAGAATTTTTGCTCTTAAAAAGAGCACTACGTTCTTGTTCACAGGCTTATTTTCTAGCCTAACATTTTATAAGTAGAATTTTAAGTGTTTGGATGCAAATTATCAAATTTCCCTCAGTGTTTTCTTGGTTTCATGACAAGTTTGATAAGGTCTGTTTCTGTCAGCTCTTGCCAGTCTGGATATTGCCATTTCAAACAAAACAAAATTCCAATAAGTAAAAAATCAGGCAGTTCGAGTAATAAAGAGTTATGTCTTACTGATATTATTAAATGTGCATTCTTATGATCACTAATGAGAATTAAAGATTTAAAAATTGATTCATAATATTATTTTTGGTAAATAATGGCTTCAATTATGTCCAAATGTGATTTTGAACATTAATAGCAGTAAAACAGCTTTTTACTAATGACTAGTAAGTAATATGGAATCTAGTCGTCTTTGATATTTTGGTTGTATCATGGATTTAGACTCCAAAGAGTAGTTTTTTAAGAACTGTGTGCTCATTTGTGTTCTGTACCCTTTTTCATCTCCTGCCTGTCTGCTGTCTGTGTGCTGTCTACAAAGCAGAAGGCCTCAGGCAGTCCAGCCCGGCCAGTTCTCCTACAAGTTGCAGAGTCGGCCTACAGGTTTGGTCTGGGTTCTGTTGCTGGAGGTTAGTCACCGATGAGTGTGAAATTTGTACTTTTATTTTTCCTTCTGACTTTTCTCTGATTTTCTACCTTACACAGCCTTCTCTCTGGTGGTTCCCCAAGTCCATTACCAGTCTCTATCTATGACATGGGACCAGAACAAAGGGGACTTTTTTCCATACCTGTACACAATCAAGGCCTTACAAGTGACATTTGTCTGTTACTTATCTTCAGACAGGCTTTCTAAAGATAGGTTAATAATGAGGTTAGGCTGTAGCTATGTGCTTTTAGTTTAAACTCCGTGGCATCCTTTTACCAGGGGATACCTGAATGAAAATTCACAGTGGTTTATTAATGATAGAAAGGTAGTAGAGTTTTAAAATATGTATATGTAAAATTTACTTCTTTTCTTCGATTTTATTCACTTCGTTCTTCCCTCTGATTGACCTTAATTTCCTCTGAAATAGTGGTATTATTTAATTTTAGCTGTTGGAGCCACTGCTGTGTATCCTATTGATCTTGTAAAAACTCGAATGCAGAACCAACGATCAACTGGCTCTTTTGTGGGAGAGCTCATGTATAAAAACAGCTTTGACTGCTTTAAGAAGGTGCTACGCTATGAAGGCTTCTTTGGACTATATAGAGGTTAGTGCCATGTGCTGTAATCATGTAAGGTAGAATAACAGCCAAAGGTTTGGCTTCCCATCTCAGTGCCTGAAATGAATTAGAGAGACTGTGTCAAAATGGAATACGTGGGATTCTCAATTATCCATGCTAATGGGTGTGGGCGGGAGGCATCTGGGCATGGCTAATCAAAACAGCCCATAATCTGAAAGCCATTTATATTGCTCTCTTGTATGTTTTATTTTTTAAATAAGTTATTTTTAAAAACATCTTCAGTGGGTTTTTTAAAAGGTTCATTGTGTTCTTGAAGTAGTCCACTCACTAGTTAATGGGGAAAGGCCTGCTCAGAATTCAGTATTCTCATGGAATATGCAGTGGTCCCCCTTATCCACGTTATTGCTTTCTATGGTTTCACTTACTCATGGTCAGCCATGTTCTAGCAGTGCTAATTAGAAAATTCCAGAAATAAGCAATTCATAAATTGCAAATTGTGCACTAGTTTGAGAAGTATGATGAAATCTCGCAGCTTCCTGCTCCAAAATGAAAGAGATGATCCCCTTCCTACTGTACCATCAGCCCATACCACATCCCAGTACAACATCATGCACCTCCTTCATCTCATCACATAGGCATTGGATCATCTCACATCATCACAGGAAGTATGAGTACAGAACACTGAGATATTTTGAGAAAGACATTCACATACCTTTATGCTACATGGTTAAGATGTTTTATTACTTGGCTGTGCCAATTTCTTAAAAAAAAAATTATTTGATTATTTATTTATTTATTTATTTATTTACTTTTGTGGTGATGGGGATCAAGCCCAGAACCTCGCATATGCTAGGCAAGTGCTCTACCACTGAGCTACATCCCCCAAATTTATAAATTAAACTTTATCATGGGTATGTTCACATAGGAAAGAATACTATATATAATGTTTGGACTGTCCAAAGTTTCATGCATTTGCCAGAGAGTCTTGGAAGGAACCTGCCACAGATGGATGGTATGGGACCATAGAGAGTCTGTTAAGCAGTGTTCAGTGGAGCTCTCCCTTCCTACCTCTTTCCAAATTAAAGTTTTCCCTTCCCTTGCTGACTGTATGCAATGGAATTGATTCATACTCCACTCTAGCCCAGTCAGCCTCTGTTTCCACCTGCTGCTTTAGTCAATGAAGGTTCATTCAACAGTGGTCACAGGAGCAGAAAGTGTCATCACCAATACAAAGAATCCCACAGACCTTTCTGGCGTTTTTGTTAGTATCAGCCTAAAGAGATAAGCCTTGACTTATCTCCTTCCCAACTTCCTTTTTATGCCTGCCTTCTGCAAAGAGGTAAGAAGTGTATTTGCATCAGGTAAAATACAGAATTGCAAGGCGGTTCATGCCCTGCTGCTTTGCCATTTGTCCAACTGCAGGTCTTCCCTCCTCTCCCTACTAGTGCTTGCTCTAAAAGAAGAAAATAGTGTTTAGCGCTCTGCCGAGGTGGATGAAACTGGCAGCTGTGCAAACCTGGGCCTCTAGGCCTCTTCTGCCATCTGCTGACTCTAGTCTCCAAAGTAAGCTCCCAAGTTAAAAAACAAAAACCCTCTCACCTTAGAAGCTGGGAGGTTTCCAACTGCAGAGAAGTTCCATTTTGCAAGGCCTATTAGATACGTAGATAACCCTCTTCAAAGGCCTTTTGATCTTTTCTCTTCCCTTTTTTCCTTGCCCCTCCCCCCCTTCTTGCAATTTGGAAGGTTTTTGACCCCAGGTGATTGATGATGACCCCTGTAGGGTCACCGCCTTCCATTTGAAATACTTTTTCCCCTTGGTGACAACAACCTTGCAAGTGAAATGGCTCCCAAGTAGTACAAGGTTAATGTCACAATTCCTGCTTTGCAGTGAGTCAGGCAAAATGACCCCCTTACCTATTCATATGGGTGGGTCTTTGAAAGGAAAACTTTAAACCTCTTGTCTGGACAGATGTCTGAGCCTTGGCCTTGCTTCACTAACAACTTTTATAGGCTTTTCTTTTGTGAGTGTTGGAATAAATGTCAAAGGTGCCTTTATAATTGTGAGAACCCTGCCCAGCACTACTGAGTGTCCAGTTTGCTTGTATTGACTTGGTTTGTTTTTAACTTTCCTCTGTGACCACACCTGGCAGATCCTCAATCTTGCTTATACCTAGATTTCTCTTCTGTGACCTGTCCTTTTGACCCCATATGCCAAAGAGTGTTTGAGCACTTAGTGATGAGCTAATGTGGACTGGGATGAGAGGTGTGTGCCTCTTACAGGTTCAGTTATTGCATGTATAAGATGGGAGCGACTGCTTTTAACTTCTTAGGAAAGCAGAACTAAGCTGGCATATAGAGATGAGGCTCACTCTGAACACCAAAGAGGCAGCTCTTCACCCTTTTCCAGGTTTATAAATAGTCATTTATTTAACCTCCTTTGGGTACCTATATCCTCATGGCAAGGGCCAGAGTTGTCTGTCAAGATGACAAGTAGAGCATGAATGTACGATTAGCTCTGGGTGTCACCTATGTCCATTGCTTTCTGAGTTCTTATCTTTTCTAGTGGATTTTAAAACAAAAGAGTTACTGTAAAATTCTTGTTTAGTTCCAATCAAAAATTTGTATCTTGAGATCAAAGAAAGACAGTTCGGATTAAAGAAAGTAAGAATGATTCATAATCTTGCCATGAAAATTACTTTTTCCTAGTTTGGATTGGTCAGGGACCAATTCCTTTTAGTTCTTTGCACATAATCCTTAATTGTATGTCACCACTTGTTTGTAAATGCTTACCAGTGGACAAGAGAGAAATTAGATGAATATGTAGGTAACTCATGGGAAGCTGTTGTTATTAAAATAAATAATAACAGAGGTTAAAAAAGACCTCAAGTATTGGACTTGGTATTATAACCTTTATGTGCAAAGCTAAGATATAAAATAACTGCATGTGATTCTTTTTACATTTCTCATAAAACATAATTAAATTCTTTTAAAATTTTATCATTGTAGGGAAAAACAGTTAAATTACAATCTTGAGAATATAAACTTGCTTCTGATAGTATTTTTACCTGGCAGTTTTTGAGATGATGTTGGAGTACATCTCTAATTTATAAACATGTTTCAAAATATTGAGCACTTTTAAATATTTTATAATCTTGCATAGCGTATAATATATTTCACCATCAAAACATATATAATTGATCATATTTCCTGAATAGGATAATTTAGGAATTTGCTTAAATGAGGTCTCTTCTCTATTTTAAAATTACCTCCATGTATACTTTCTTTTTAACAGAAATGGCTTTGAAAAAAGCTTTGCATTGTATGTTTTTATTGTAAGGTTAATAACTATCACTGTGTTACATTGTCTCTCTTATCATGAAAATCCAGGAATCTGTTTTTGTATTTTAAGTAGTTCCCTAGGGAACTAGAGTGAAGGCTGTTGTTAAAGATTCTTTTAGCACTTCAGGATGAGTAGTTTGCTTTTCCTTTCTCTGGCAGCTGCTAACATCTACATGGTCCTTGATGCTCTCCAGCAGAATCAGAGAGCACATCTCAATCACTGCGTGTTGTCCCCAGGACACTGATCTCACAGCTCTAGGGACAGCCAGCACTGGTCATCAGTAGACTGTTCCTCAGAGTCACTAGAAACTTCAATTTTGTGTCTCTTTGTAGGTCCTTGTTTCTTTATCTCCAGGAGACTCATTTTTGGCATAGTGTTTTGGTTGCTGGAAAAGATCCCCACATGAGTCCTAAGACAGAAGCTCCACAAATCTTCTTTATATTGCAGGCTACTTTCTTTACAAAAAAACGACAAGCTTTTGTGGGGTTTTTGTTTTTGTTTTTGTAATTTTTGAAAAACTTATCTACAGGCTAAATCTTTGATATTAAGGAAAATAATACCTGAGATAATCCAGGACACCTGAAGTCATTTGTAGAAAATCTTCCTCTGTTTACTTCCTAGTCTCTAAGACTGATTTAACTATCAAGTCATTGTAATTCTTCTTTTTTTCTTTTTCTTTTTTTGTGGTGCTAGGGCTTGAACTCATGGCTTACACCTTGAACCACTTTACCAGCCCATTTTTTGATGGGTGTTTTTGAGATAGGGTCTGCAAACTATTTGCTCCAGGCTAGCTTCAAACCACAGCCTCCTGATCACTGCCTCCTGAGTAGCTAGGATTAAAGGTGTGTTCGTAATTCTTAATGAATTCGAGACAGCTTCCTTGGTTTGAATGAACTTCATGGCCAAATGAGTTAGTCATTGGCTTGCCATGGACTGGGCATATTTAAGAAAAACAGTTGATTGGATAATTATCCATAATTAAAGGCTCTTAATGTTTCAGGAATAACTAATTTCTGCTTTTGAACTTTATAACACCCCCAGACATTCAGGTAGTGAAATGAGCAACCTCAGATATTGGAATGTTGGGGGAGGACCTTTGGGGAAAAACGTATTCAAGAGAAGTCAGGGTCCATTAGAAAAATTCTTAGAGGAAGGTTTTTAGTTCTGTTGGTGGGAGAATGTCTAAAGAAAATTTTCCAGAAAGAGAAAGTAGATCATTTTATGAATTAAATAATTTGGAGCAGCACTTAATTTTTGAAGTAATTGGCAAAAAAAAAATCAATCAGCTCATTGATCCAGGCTTGCAAAGTTTTAAATATGCATATTTCAAGATGTTTGTGCAGTGCGAAGCATTCACCCTCCATCCTGAAATGTTCTCAAGGTGACATCTAGAGGATGTTGTAGTGATATCTCAGGAAGTCATTGATCTGTGTAAATTCTAAAAGGAAGTTGTTAGGCAGCTAGTTTAAGCCAGGTCTCTCCTTGTGGTTGATGGCACTAAAATTCTGTGGACTTACAGTGAGATTCCTTTTTCTTGCATCATTCTTGTAGATAAAAATAAATTTTAAAATCCTAGCATCAAAATAAGATGTTTTGCATTACTTAAAAATATGTACATCTTGGGGAAAAAAGAAAACACAATCTGCGAACTTCCCCTGAGCCATGGGTTCACTCTTGTCCAAAAAAC